AAAAAAAAACGAAGAAAAACGTATCGCAAAGATATGAACAATTTAAGAAAATTCTATTATGAAGCTGATATAGAAATACCTTATGAAGGTATTACCTTATGAAGCTGATATAGAAAATGAAGCTTACCTTATGATATACCTTATAAAGCTGATATAGAAAATGTCAAAACAAAAAAAAGAAGAAATAAAATTTTGAAAAAAAAAAAAAGCAATATTATTCTTTGCTTTTCTTACTGTAAGATTCGACTAAGCAATTTTGATTTAGATTTTTCAAAAAAAAAGTTGCTAAAAATGTTGAATCTGTATGGATGAGAACACTGTTCAAAGCTGAACATTTGACACAGATAAGAGCAGGAGAAAAAAAAATAAATGAACATCAAAGGCAAACATAGAATCTCCTCAGTTTTTTGCCAGGTCAATTATCTACAAATTCTTAAATTTTCAAAAAAAGACGACTGAATGAAATATACGTGAAAGTTTTTGTTGCTGTACAATCACCCATAATAATTGACAACAAAGCTTTAGTTCTATTAGTTCGTGATGGTTGAAAATCAGTTTCTGAATGAATATGTAGTAGAAACCTTCTGCAGTACACACTTCTTTTCTTGTACATTTCATCGCCTCATCGACATGTTCTTTTTTGCCACTTAACTGACACTTTCATAGTTAACCTCTGCAAATATCCCTTTCTTAGTTAACGAACTAAATGATCCACAATAGATCATTCAGCTAAATTTGCATATTACGACTGCTGTCAATTGTGTAATGAATGGTCATGAGGTTCTGCAATTTTTCCTCTACTTAGTTTGGCCATTCTGTTAAACTGGTTAAACAATTCGATGACGTTAAATTAGCGATTCGTAACAACGCTACTCGATAGCACCGTTTCCCAATTGAAATGGTTTTATATCCTGCTTATTGCTTACGTTGCATGAACAACATTTCTATGAGCCAACTATTAAATTATGCTTGCAGTTTTTTTTTAAAAAACAAGGTGAACAGAACGTTCAATTTTACTTCAACACAACTTTTCAAACTTGTATTTTATTGCTTCCTCACGACACTGATAATAAATCGTTTATGCACAAGTGAAGCTTTTTTCCAACGATCCATCCAGTTTATATGCCATTCGATCTAACTATCAAAAAATTTAATTTCAAAAAGTTACAACCGATACAGTTATCTCAACTTTTTATTAAAATTTCCAAGAAAACTTGTAACACTGTATATGATACAAAATTTCGATGAGAAGTTATGCCGTATCGACCGCCGTCATTATAAATTTATGGTATTTAATATCTATTCTCCAGCCAAACTAAGATAAATTAATTTACTGCGATTAGTTCAAAACCAGTACGGCAAATTCAGTA